TGCGGTCCACCCGGCCCCAGCCCCAGAGGGGGCCCGGGCGGGACTGGGTAGGTTGGCGGCGACTTTGGGGAGTGTGCTGCCCGGAAAGTTTGCCTCTTTCCTCTAAGTCCTGCTTTATGTAAACCTGAAACACGACTCCTTCGGCCGGCACTTGTGCCCTGTACCTGATAACACCTGTGCGGCCTTCTCGGGCAAGTAGGATGCCCCGTGGTGCACGGAAGTTGGAGAACTTTTATTTCAGTTGGGTGTGGTGGTTGCATTGTCTCCGAAGCCGCTATCTCTAAACCGGGCCAGCAGTGTCCTGACAGCTCTCCTGGGATGCAGCGCTTTCAGGGAGGAGAACGTCATCCCTCTCCTTTAGATAGGTGGGAGATGATCACCTCCCTCTCCACGTTCAGAGAAAAACGTGAAAAGACGCTGCCAAAGTCTCTATTGCGTAAATTCGGGCGGATTGTTGGGAATCTAGCTTTTGTGAACCTTGACTTCGGTGATCAGCCCACTACACCACTTTGCCCAATAGGCACGGTTTTCCGTCCTTGTTCGCTGGCCTTTGAGGTCGGCCTGGCTTGCACGCTCGCCCCCTCTCCCCCTCTCCCCCTCTCCCCCTCTCTTTCTTTGGTACCGGGGATCGAACTCGGGACCTTGAGCTTTCCAGGCAGGCAGTGGCACCACTGAGCTAAATCCCTCCCCCATCATTGTTTCTTGAGGAAGGAACCCGAGGGCACCTGTTACACTTGTTTTAAGTCATCAAGTTGAAACACTGTTCGTCTGCATTTCAACAGGTGACCTTAACGGCTCTTAGTAGCACTGTGTTTAGTAAGATGAACACAAGCATTTGAGTGAGTTTTCTGGTTAAATGTTTTGGCCTTTTTGTAAACTTACTCAACAGCCCAAGAATGAAAGATTCCTATAACTTATCATCCCATTAACTCGCCCTCCCAGTTACAGTCTAGCGGACATAAATGTGATGCTTTGTTGATGATTTGGAGCCTTCTCTGTGACACCACTGTTGCTATGCAGGACTCTTGTACTGTCCATGCTAGGAAGCTGTGGGCAATTATACTTCTAGGCCTTTCTTTGTGCCATTTTTGAGCATTTTTTTCTCACCTGTCATCTGTACTACTTGTTACTCTTCAAAGTGTCTGCCTAGAATGGCTGCCTTGCCTTTTGTTTTCTAGACTTCCTTGGTTTGTGAAATCATCTTGTTATGTGTTTGAATTACATACTATGAATAAGAAAAAGTGAGGGTATCAGAGACTAAGAATTGGCATCTTTGGCTGGATTGCTAATGAGTTACTTGAAAAATTTGGGAAGGAAGACAGGATTCAGACTTGCAGCTATGCTAGTTTACCATATATCTAAAGAAAGATTAGGAAGTTATTTGTTCAGTACCTACTCTATGTTGGAATGTTTCAAGATGCTGATGTGAAAACAAAGAAGAATTTCATATAGTAGTGCCATAAAAAAAGACAAAATTGGGTACAGTGGAACCTCAAATTTACAAACGGCCTGATGTCTGAACAACTTGGCTTAATTAATGGAAGACTCACCTACCTCTTGTTATCTGTAGTGTGTACCCAGATCACAGCTGTATTGACTTACAACCAGCCCTGGGGAACTGGTCGAGTTTGTAAGTCAAAGGTCCACCGTAATTAAACATTGGGTAGTTGGTAAAGAGCTGCTTTCAGAAGCAGAGGTGTTTGAATGAGACCTGAATGGTGAGGAGATGAACATAGATCTAGTGAAAGCATCCAGGTTGAGAAGGTGCAAATGAGAAGACAGTGAAAATGACATTGCCTTGTTGCATGAGGCAGAAAGAAGGTCAATGCACCCAGAGTGGTGTCACAGGGAAGAGAGATCAGAAAGTTCCACAGGAGCCAGTAGTATAAGGCAGGCTGAGGAGGTTGAATAATTACTGTGGGGAGCTATTGGAAAGATCAACTAAGAGTATATGTTTTGGTCTCTGTTTTAGAAAGATCAGTCCAACTACTTTGTGGTGAATACATTGTTTGGAATAAAACAAAGGCAGGTAGAATCACCTATTTTATATTGGATGCTTTATTGTCTGTCTCTCTCTCTCTGTCTCTCTCTCTGTGGTTGTCCTTAATTGTTTCTAAGAAACATTGCTGTAAACTTTTGTAGGTGCAGCCATGCAGGAAAACCTCAGATTTGCTTCATCGGGAGATGATATTAAAATATGGGATGCTTCATCTATGACGTTGGTGGATAAATTCAACCCACACACGTCGCCGCATGGGATCAGTTCGATGTGTTGGAGCAGCAATAGTATCCTTTTTTTTTTTTAAGTAACCACTTTTTATTTGGCATCACAACTTGTATCAATGAAATTTTTGCCTGTAACACATGAGAAATGTATTTTGTAAGGCTATGTATAAGGTGAAATAGTAATTTTGAAAAACAGTACATGTGAATGCATTTTGATGTTTGCAGTTGACTTAAAGTTTAATTGCAACCCACTTTATTAAAAAACACTGCTATTACACAAAATGTATTTTAGTCTCTAGATCCAGACCATAAATTACTTGTGTTACAATTTACTTTTTAACCAAATGGAATGCAACAAGTTATGGCAGGCAGGAAAACTTCCATAGTTTTGAGATGAGGTTTTGCAGCTAAATTTGGATATTAGTGAATCTTATTTGGAAGATTACAAGGGATGTTAGAAGCCAAAAGATTAAAAAAAATTATTCTATGTCCCCATTTTACTGATTTTTAAAAATTTCTCTTTGTATATGTAATGAAAACATCATTTCCTAGACAGATATGGTGGAAGTTGTGTACATTGAATTTCCCTAAGCTTTTCTGATACCCTCCCTGGCCTGGTGAGCTCTTAAATGTGGATAAAATTAACAAGGGAGTGAAGCCTGCATCTCAGGTTTCTCAACCTGACAATATTAATGCTTTTGTTCCCATAATTCTTTGTTGCCGGGGCTTTCCTTGTCTGTACTCACTAGTTGCCAGTAGTACCCAGTACTTCTGCTTTACCAACTACCCAACTAAACAGTGTTCATTTAACCACTTTTATCTTTTCAATGGCAGTTGCTACAATATGAAACCAAAAATGTCCCTAGAATTGCCAGAATTCTCCCAGTTGAGAACCACTGCTATATTTATACAGCCCTGCAAAGTGTTATGACCCTATGAAAATGTCCTGTATAATTGGTGTGCTAGAAATTATTCTTTTGTGATGCACATACACTAAGCAAAAATTAAGGTCAATGTTAATATTATGATATTGTTAAAACTTATAAGTACCGAAATACATTCTATTTCCTGATTCAAGAAAATGTATAAAAACTTAAAGCCTTAAACTTCTTATGACCAGTATCTATTGCAAATACATAACAAAGATGACAAATTTTCTTCTTGAATGAAATTTACTTCATTATTCCTTGATGTGGTATTAAAGTAGTGAAATTCTTTGTTACTCTATTGGTGAAACTTACAGGGAAGTGACTACATTTTGATGAACTCTTAAATATGTAGTAGGGAAAGTATTTCAAAGATTGGCAAATCCATAAAGTTGCTGCCTCCTATTTTTAAAATTCCGTTATGTTTAGAGCTTAATTTTTTTCTGTTACTACCGTGTCAGAGAAAAGGGGCAGTTTTTAATAAGATTCATTATTTTTTGTTTATTTTTGTACCAGGAACTGACATTTACTGGTATGCCACTTAATGTTCTTTCAGCAAACTAATATGGCTGTAAGTTGGTGTTGTGTGACTTTTGTAAAGCTCTCTATTTCTGCATAGTTTCCATCTGTGCGCATGTGCACTGAAAGCCTTCCTATAGTCATGTTCCTGAGGAGTCAGTTACTGAAGAACAAAGAGGTCGGAGACCCGGCGACTGGGGGTCCCGGCATAGAGTCCAAGAATGAGATTAGTCTGATATGCCAGGGAAGTTAATATTTTTGTTTTGCTTTTTTTTGGTTTCTTTAGGTATTGTTCCTATTTTTCTCATGTCTTTTAAAACTTATAAGAGATCTTTAAAAATTTCTGACTCTTTGTGTGGTGGTTCAGACCTTTTCTGTGTTAAGAAAAGTAGTGGTAAGGAGATGAAGCCAAGGAAAGGGAGATGTTCCCCCCCGCCCCAGTTTTATGCTACCCAGGTAAAAATTATTTTGTTTGAATCAGAAAATATAATTACAATCCGTGGTCGACTCTCAGAATATATGAATGCTATACAAACTACCCCCAAGTGATGCAGATAGGAGTCATTGTCTGATTACCCCATCACCATTGCAGACTTTACTTGCTTAACATCATAGCTTTAAACTTCTGATATTTGTTATGGCTTTCAAAATTACTCTTTAAAAACAAAAAGAACCTCAGATTCTTTTTCTTCATTATACTATAATCACTTTAATTTTAAGGTACTTGCTTTGTCTTATGTTGGCTGATTCCTCCATATAATTTCTGTAAATAAGTAAATTTACTTTAAGTAAAATTAATTTTTAATTAGTTACATTTAATTTAAAATAAAGCTAAAATATAACTCTTCCCTGACATTTATTAGTTCAAACTTATTTATAAACTATTGTAAACTATAGTTACTGTTATATTCATTTCTAATGTATGGAAGTTTGAAATGTGCTGTCACAAAAATTCCAGTCCTGATAAAATAAGGTTTCATTTCTTTTTTTAATGGAAATATTGACTTGTTTTTGCTTCCTTGCTTACGTTGTTAGCAAGCAGTGGATTAATAAATAAGTATCTCAAGTAGTTTTAGTAGATGAAAAGACTGATATTTGCTGGTGCTACTTTCTTTCATCATGCTCTCATTCTTGATGGATAAAATTAGACCTTCTTGCCTACCCTGAAAATGGAGTAGTATTTCACATGGGTTAAGTAGCTTTCAAGGGGTAGCCCAGGCCAGGACGGATAGTTTCTCCCTGCAGTAGTAGTAAAGGGAATTAGTAATTAGTAACCTGAGCCATTTTTGAAAGCTAAAGTATAAGCTATATTCATTTGCTTGTCTTCTCAGCATTTACTTGTATAATTGCATTTTTATAATGATAGTCTAGTGCTTGTAGATTCTCATGGATTGTTTGATGTTCCATAACTCTTCGTTTAGATAACTTTCTAGTAACAGCATCTTCCAGTGGTGACAAAATAGTAGTTTCAAGTTGCAAATGTAAGCCTGTTCCACTTTTGGAGCTTGCTGAAGGAGTAAGTATATATATATATTTTTTTTTCTTTAGAATCTCTGTTCTGCGTACGTGGCTATTGCTTATTTGTTATGTTGCTTGCAATGAAAACTACAGATCCTTGAAAGCATCATTCTTAACCTAAATTCAAAATAATACTATAACAACTGAAGGTAAGGTATGTGTGCTGAGTGAAACATCTTTAGGTAAAATAAATATGCATCCTAGGGGAGCAACTGAGGATTGGATTTCATTAATTAGGCCCTTGCTTTTTCATTTCTCCTTTGTAGGTGGGACCCTGTTGATTCTTGACTTAGGACTGTTCCATACCTAGGTCAATAGTTTAGTCTGACCATTGAACGATGATGGTGTAACTACCCTAAGAGACCCCGGACTCAGGACAGTCAGCGGAAGACCCATGTCTTATGGTAGCCCTGTGCTTCAGAGTCTGTCCATCTCGGACTTGGGGGCTGCCTGAGGCCCCCTCAATCTCTCCTTGAACAGAATGGCTTTGTCAAAATGAGCTGTGCTCCCATGGCACACACATGAAGCTCACTGCATATTTCCTTATCTTTTTGTTGTATAAATGAATCCCTCTGATTCAGGATAATATTGGCTTTATTTTTATTCTCCTTGAAAACTGTTTCTTCTTAAAATAAGGTAAGGTGCGAATATAAAGTTACAAATAGTTGGTAACTTGTTCTTTTTTTTTTCAGTGGCAAAATTTCATAGCAGACCTTAAATTATTATGAACTAGCATAGTTTTATATACTGGGATAGGTCAGGTAGTCCACTTGGAAAGCAGCATAGTTAAGTGTATATAAGCTCAGCTAATTTAAGAGAACTTATAATTTTTTAGAATTAAAATGTTTTTAACATGCTTATGGGGTACATTTTTTCTATTTCAGTGCAGGTATACCGCATGTAATGATTAGGTTAATTGGCAATCTTTTTCCTTAAAAATTTATTGTTCCTTTGCACTGGAGACATTCACAATTGTCTCTACTAACTAATTTGAAATATATAAATTGTTTTCAGCCTAAGGTACCCTACTGTGTGCTGTAGAACATTCCAAGTTATATTTTGTAGAGAACTTCTGTTTTTGTCAGTCTTCTAAATTAAATATCTGGTGGCATGGGCATGAAACTTAGTTCCATCCCACAGATAGAGGCTTGGGAGAGAATTCGGCAAAAGGCAGAAATGGACTTTGGGCATTCAAACAGAGCTAAGTAAGATTGATCAAGGCAGAGAATGTCCCTGGTCACTAAGCGAACTGCACTCTTCAAGAGTACACAGAACAACTTAGTCATCTTTGGATCCTGTCAGAGGGTGTCAGCAACACTGGAATTTAATATCAGTGTCAAACAGTTTCTTCTGGCTTCACTACTGTACTTTACTACTTAATATTTATTTATCATGCCTTCGAATTAGTGAATCAGTATTTAGGGCTTTTTTTAGTGTTTAAAATTAACATGATATTTGCAAGTGTGACATAAGTCTAAGGATTTGTGAATGTTACTAATTAGTTGCTGAAACTCTTAGCCCTCTTTCCCGCATTTAAGAAATCACATTGTAATGCACATGGGTAAAGTGAGATTATAGTTCTAATTTTGAATCTCTTATTTATAAAAATATTTTGTAAACATTGGTTCTTTAGCCTTTACTGGAAATTTCTAACATATTAGTGTTACTTTTTGTGAGGGTGAGATTCAAATCCTGTAACTCATGAGCTGTTTGAGGAATTAGATCTTTTCTACTGGGGAAAATAAGATTCCATCCTATTTATTTTAAAATTACAATGGAACTTTGAGTTCTTGCACTTATTTGTTTATAATTTTGTATTTTACTTCTTTAAAGTATAAACATTGATATTGACGATATTATAATAGATATAACAGGCTACTAAGTAGCCTAGAAATTTGACTTATTCTTAGATTTTTAAAAATTGTACCCATTGTCTTATGTCAGTGATTGTGAACCCTTTAGAGCTTTCAGTGATGAAACAGCCAGCTGCAGCACATGTACCATGGGTTCACCACCACTGTCTTATGCCTTGGAGTACAGAGTTCCTGTAGTTATCATTACCCAGTGTCTATTAATTATTTAAGTTCATTAGCTTCATTAATAATTCACATAATGTAAGCTAAGTATAAATATAGATTTCATTTGGAGCCCTTAAGAATAATTATAGTTGTGACAGTTGGTGTCGCAATATATGAGATCTTTGGTAGACACCATTCTGCTTTATTTTCTTTAAATGTTTGTTTGATAGTTCTTAGCAAACTGTCCTGATTTGCAGTGACAGTCAGACTCCAAATCTTACTAGTCTTTAGGTCAGTCAGGTTCTAGGATGATACCTATTAGAAAATCATAACACCTATGCTAAAATAGTGATAAAATGTTTATCCAGCTATTTTTATGCATTAGTTGATACTGTTGGTCCAGAGCTGCCAGAATCCTTGGCTAGTCCAATGGTTCTGTGTGGAGGGGACTGTCTAACCCCTTAGGAATATCTTGAGCAGATGATATATTTGAGGTGCCTGAACTCAGGGTAGCAACAGTAGATCTGATCTTCATCTCTCATTTCTCACATGTGAAACATACCCTCAGAAACGTGAGCTTACTTGCCTAAACCTAAATAGCTTGCCTTTTAACTTAGAACTAAGTTATGATCTTCATTTTTGCCACCGAAAGCAGCATTCAATTGTAGATAAGAGCAATTCCTGTAACTCTGTGGCACCTCCATTGTTCAGATAGGGAAAGGTGTACAACCTTGTGCTCTGCACTGCAGCATGCTTACTGATGTCACCACCAGACAGGTGACATTCACTGATACTTGTACAAAGCACTTGATAACCTCTGTATGTTTAGCTGTTCATTCCCTAAATATTTATTGAATATGGATATGATTCTTAATGAAACATTCTGGTTGGAGAATAAACTACCGTTTAAGCCAAAAATCCAGATATTGGTCATTTCTAAAGCAGAGAACTAACATAAGATATTGCCGTAGCAGCTTAAACTAGGAGGCTAAGGGAGGTCTCCTGAAGAGTTGATAGCTTGCTCTCCAGGCACAGCTATGTAGAAGCCTTGAGGCCAATGGGATTGTTATGATTACAGAATGAAAGGTCATTATGGCCTGAGAATTACTGAGGGGAGAAGAAAATGGTTAAGAGATGAGGGAGGCAGGACTGAGGTGAGTAGGGCTCCCAAAACCAGGTTAACATTTTGGCGTTTCTAAGTGTGACTGGAAGGCATCGAAGAGTCTTACAGGGAGAGAGATGCTCTAATTTTCATTTCTTAAAGTTCACTCTGTACTTTTTGGAAGATGGAATACCACTGTATAGGGAAGCAGGAGTAGAGTCAAGGAAACTAGTGAGGACGCTGCTGCCTTGGCTTGGCAGTGTTTGTGTTAGCGCTAGTAGTTATAGATGAAGTGGGCAATGCAGGGTTCATTTTAGGATCAGAGTTTATGCATTGAAGGGAGAAAGAACAGGGAATCAGATTATTTAGGGTTTTTATTTTGGGAAGCTGGATGAATGGTGTCCGTACAAATGAAATGAAAATGAGGTCAGGTTGGTTTGTTTCTTCACATAGAGCTGGAGTTAGTCCAGAGCCTCATGCATGCTGTGCAGATGTTCTGCCACTGAGCAACACCCCCTAGTCCGGGATGTCCGGTTTTGAGGGGATAATTGAGTCGGGCTCCTTAGGGTGAGATTTACTTAGAAACTTAGATAAGTGTCATCACTTGCTTTCCATATCTATAACATGAGAGCTCTGAACTAGGTGTTCTTTAAAAGCCTCTCTTCTAGCATTTTCTGAGTGGGGGATTGATTTTAATTTGAGATATTCTGTGGAGATACAAGAGCACATTTAATAGAGGGGAAATATTATATTAAGTATTGTGTAAGCTCTGCTGGGAGACCAAGACTTGCTGGTGTTTCCTAAGCTTCGCCTGTCAGCACCCTTCAGTGGAGGAGAGCCCTGACCTAATTTCCTTGAAATCTTGTTTCATTAAAATGTTTGGAAACTGTTGGGTCCACTTGAAAGATGATGAGAGCTGAATCTTCAGAATTTTTCTAGGTGTGATTGGAAACCATTGATGATTTATTAGCATGTATTGGCATGTTTGTACTTCAGAATATTTATCATATTTAGCATGTGCTTACTGTTAATGAGGTGGTAGTCATCACTGGGCTCTATTAAGTTAACTTTTTTTTTTTTAAATAGCAAAAGCAGACATGTGTCGATTTAAATTCCACATCTATGTATTTAGTAAGCGGAGGCCTAAATAAGACTGTTAACATTTGGGATTTAAAATCAAAAAGAGTTCATCGATCTCTTACGGTAAGCAATTTTCTTTTAAATCTTTAATAGAATGGATATTTTTCAGTGTATTTAGTTGCCAAACTTCTGTTTTTGATTCTGGTAAAATTAATACACTTCAAAATTGAACCGAGGTTATGAGAAGTAAAGGTCTGTTTAGTCAAAAACACTTTTTTGTCTTTTCCCTCCATGTCCTATATATTATTAATGCATATTGTCAGTATTTGAAACTTCTTCCTGTTTTTTCACTGAGTTCTACTCCTCTCTCTCCTTTATTTTCTTCTGAAGTATAGGTGGTTGTCATCAGGGATTTTTTAAAAGCACTTTGGAAAAATGAGAGTGGTTGTGAAAAGATAGTATTAAATCCAGCAGTTAGAGTTGGAGATTCAGCTTTTCAGTTCAGTAAAATATCTGCCTGCTGCTGTTTGTGTTATTTTTGCACATGTATTTTCAACTTGGTAGTGAAAATGTTTCCTAGAATAATTTACAACTTAAAAATGTTTAGTTAGCTTTTTGCGGTTTCAGAAAATAAAAACATTCATCTCAAGAAAGTTAGGACTTTTTCAAATTTCTACTTTTGACCATTTTGTCTTAATACCTAGGGATTGATCTATTAACAGTTATTTTTATTTTCTGCTATTTAAAGAAGTTAATTAAAAATTTTAAACATTCTGTGTGTTTGTACACACATGAACATGTACACGGAGAAGGTTAACCTGTAACCTGTAACCTGTGCCTTTGGTGTCAGTGATGACCACCCCCGGCCAGTGTTGTTTTACCTGTGTGTTCACCACTTAATATATCCTTTCACTTCCAGATCATTGTGAGGCAAGTTCCAGGCATCATTTTAGTTAGATTGCTTAATGTCATTGAGTTAATTCTTATTAGAAAAGTGGTATATTGAACATTGATTTCCTGTTCACCTGAACTGAAAAACAATCTTATAATTGCTGCTTAAATACAGCCCTTGGAAATTCATCATTTTAAGTGTAGTTAAACTTTTGAGAATATTAATTCTAAGATCTCTGCTGTGGAATAAATGAATATATAAAGGTACTACTGGTCTCTACTGGTCAGACCAGCACTCTAGCCTAAGAAAGAACAAACAGGAGGAAGAACACTCAGGAACATTTCCTTTGAAGTGAACAACAATGGAGATCCATTTAACAGAGAGCTGCCAAGGACCTACCTGTTTCTGATGTTGTGGAGGACATTGGATTTACAGTGATGGGGAGAAAAAAAATGCATGGTCCTTGTCTGTACTGAAAAACAAGCAAAAATATACATGGTTATGAATAGTAAAAGGAAAGAAAGGTTGTCACTAATGAGAGTAGTTACCTTTTGTTGCATTCTTTGATATGCCAGCCATTGTATTTACAAAGGTTTACTTTTCTTATTTCTACAATGTTTTGGTCACTTTCCTCCTTGCTGGGACAAAATAACTGATACCCCGAATTTAAAAGAGAGGAGGTTTATTTTGACTCATGTTTTCTTCCATAGTTGGTTGGCTCCAAGGCAGGAATGCCTGGCAGAGGAGAGCTGCTCACCCCTGGCAGCCAGGTAGCATAGTGAAAGGGCGCAGCTGGGAGGGAGCGGTACCCTTCCAGGCCATGGCCCCAGTGACCCTCTTCTTCCAAGCAGACCTCACCTGTACAGCCCATCATACAACTCACCTTCCAAATACATGAGGTTTTGGGGCCAATTTTGGATCTAAGCCCTAACAAACAGCTCCGCAGAACAGGGAGCATTAGTTCAGTGTACAGGTAGAGAAAGTAGGCAGAGATGTTCAAGAACTTGTTCTGGATCAGACAGCTAACTATCAAGGACAATTATTAGATGCAAGCACAGATACTATTTATTTGTTAGTCTAATTTTACATTGTGAACTCTTTGAATTAAAGCTACCTAGAGGGACGTACCTACTTTGCACTTGATCTTAGCCAAAAGGCCGAGCAGCGATTGGGGCATACCTACTTTGAATAAGGAGTAGTCTCTGTCTTTTTATCTCGTATTTTAAGAGCTTTATGTACCTGTCCCCACGTTTCATCTTCTATTTGCTTTTCCTTTTTCAGCTTTCCCAGTTACGTCATATGTATTTTTTCCTCTTCTTATTGTTTGAAGTTCTCAGATTGCTTTGCTGCCTTATTCATTCCATTATGAAGTATTTGACCAGTGGTGATAGTGAAATTAATAGCTTAGCTTTTGCCTTTGGATATTTTCTCTAGTCTTCTCCCTGCTGATGTAACACGATTTCTGGTTTGTAGCTGGTGTTTGATAAATGTTCAGTGAATGACTCATTTTCCACAGTTGACATTAGAAGACACCTGTCCCTTTATAAAGCTATAGAAATTATATTGGGCCCCAAATTCTTAATTTCTCAAATAGAAACGGTGCACAAAATATTACTCCATTTTTCTTCTCGCCAGACATCCTCTTCCTTCAGGGTATTTGTATCTTTGATTTAGGAAAGGAGTACCTCTGAAAATGCTTGAAGAACCATTTGGAAAAGTTGTACTCTTATGTGGATATCATAGCTTCTGTTGTTGATATTACTGTAATTATTAGGTACTGGGCTTTATCTTAACGATATGACACCAAACTGCTACAAATTACTGCTAATCCTGATTACCTTGATGTTCCTGCTAGAAATCTCTACTTTGATGTTGGGAAACAGTATTTTGAACTCAGTTTCAAACTCAATACTTCTATTTCCTTAGAGCGGGTTCCCACTGGATTTGAGAAGCAGTCTGGTATTCTGGGAGAATGTAGGCTTTGGGGTTTGACCTGGAAGGCAGGTTGGCTCTGTTGCTTAACAGTTATGTGAGGAGGCACACAGGCTTCTTAGCCTTTATGTACCCCATCGGTATGTGGGCAGAACAACCTTGTCTTTTGGGAGTTTGAAGGATTGAATATAAAGCTCCCTGGACTCAAGGGTACTTAGTGCGTACAAGCAGTTCCTATATGATCGATTTTTTTTCCCGTGTTCCATTTTGCAATGTCTAGTGTCTTTCTCCTTTTCCTGACTACCTCTTATCCTTTAACACTGAACTCAAACTTCATTCCTTCCTCTGTCAAATCAGATCACAATTATACCTCTCTTTTCTCTGCCACTTTTCTGTATCACTCATTTAGCTCTGTCTTTTTTTTTTCTGTATCACTCATTTGCTCTGTCTTTTTCATGTTAATTTAAATGCCTCGTCTTCTCAGGTGAACTGTAATGCTCCAGGACAGACACACTTCTAATAGCTTATAGTGAATGTTGCTTGTCAGCAGGAGTGAGTACTTTCAGGTACTTAGCAAATCACCTTTTCATGCTGTCTCTTGTTTCAGAGTGTTTGGACCATTAATGTGATTGTGAAAAGGGAATCGCTTTCCTGAGAGGATTTGGGGTTGATTATATGGTTTCTTACTAATCTGAATATTTTTTTAAGAAGTTATTTGAGGAAAATGTTAAAGTTGATGTCCCATCGACAAGCATAGCACTTGCTATTTACAAAAGTATGAAAATGGGCTATATGAAGGTTATGGGACACTGTACTTAACATGGTTTCTGTCTTTCAGGATCATAAGGATGAAGTAACTTGTGTAACATATAATTGGAATGATTGCTACATTGCTTCTGGATCTCTTAGTGGTGAAATTATGTTACACAGTATAACCACTAATGTGTCTAGCACTCCTTTTGGCCATGGTAGTAACCAGGTATAGTGTGTGTTTATTCAAAATAAAGTTAATAAGATAGATTTTGCATTATTTTAAATATGAGAATGAATTTAAGTTTTTAAATGTTTTAAATTTGTATTTAACTTGCTTGAAAAACTTCTTGGTAATTTTTAATGGTGCTATGAGAAACATTGAAGTAAGCTAATACATTTTCGATGAGGGTACTTACTTGATTGATTCGATTATGTAATTGAGTTGCTTCCTCCTAGTATTTATATTTTATAAAATGCAGCCACTTAAACCTAAAATAGGATTATTAATCTTTATGTGGCATTTCTGTCACAGAAGTGTTGCATGCTTCAAACTGTGTCAGCTGCAAGATGCATGCTTACGTTAATAAATACCACTAGGTGGACCTGAGGTAAGGCAGGAGGTAATTGAGTGGTGTGTTTTTGGTTTTTTTCAGTATATAATATCGACTTACTCATACATTTCAGATTAATGCAGGCGTGGGGACTCTTTTAAAAAGAAAACTTATTCACATATTTTCCTTTGTCAAAACTTAGCCTGTAAAAATTTCTTTTAGTTTGGGAATTTTGTTTGTGTGTTTTGTTTTTTGTTTTAGTACTGGGGTTCGAACTCAGGACCTTGAACATGTGAGGGAGGCGCAGTGCCACTGAGCCAAATCCCCGGCTAAAATTCCTTTTAAAGAATGAAAATTTTCCTAAGAAATCTAATTCTTGGCTTGCTC